AACGTATGTACAAATGAGGATAGCATATGGACACACAAACTTGTCCTTTTGGGGATATCCCTAGTGTCCACAAATGTATATCCTATGGACAGCTTGTAAGGCTCATGGATATCCCGACCAGAAATGGACATAAAACGGATGTCCATAGGATATCCTGTGCTGTCTGAGAAAGTTACAAATTACTGATTTCAACAAGGACATTATTTGCCTTTGTCTCTATTTAAATCTGGGAGGACCGTACGCACAATCTACCTCTCAATGCGTTTAGAGGATTTCGCTTGAACCTTATACTCTAGATGGTATTTAATGAATGTTAACATAGTTCTTGGATATTTCACCAGTTTAATTATATTTTGAGAGGATTTTAACATTGAAAATGACCTAATATTGGTCGAAACATCTGTTTGTGTAATCACTTGATGTAATCTTATTGTGAGCATTAAATACCCAGCTCAGGCTTATAGCCCTTAATTATTTAATTAATCATATAGACTTATATAGATCAAAAAGTAAAAAGAAACAGAAGAGAGTTCATAACTTTAAGCAAGCGGACGGAAATGACTATATGTATACAGAGACCGCCAAAAGTTCGAAGCCACCTAAATAATTTCTGAACGGTTTGAGATATTGAATTAAAATTTATATAGTTACAATGGCAAAATGTAATCTATCATTTAACCTTGAAAATACCCACTTCAACCTCCGAAGGGGCGGGAGGGGAGGGTGGTTGAAAATCTTAAATAGGATGTGGAATCGAGTTAGGGCTCGTTTGATAGGACTTTTTGAGACGAGAAGAACGCGAAGTCATTGAGGTCTCTACGATTTTTTTTCGCAGAGTTATGCTTATTTGAACATTGGTGTTTCTTGGCACTACAAGGCCTACGATGAGGACGTGAGAAAGATAAAACTCCCGCCCCATCGGAGGGTTAAAGTGGGTATTTTCAAGGTTAAATGATAAATTTGTAAGGCGGGGATGAATATTTGAAAGAACTGCCGACAGTCGGAAAGGGCAAGAGGAAGTTATTCTAGGAGGGATAATGTCAGAAAAAGAACTCCTAGAGACTCCTTGACAGCATCAGGGATACCTGGAAAAAAGGAATGGATGCGAGCAGGGTCTCACCAATGAAATAGC